CCCCCCCCCCCCCCCCCCGTTGTCGCCCAAAACACCTGCAGGGGGAGCAGCCGCGAGTGAGAGAGGCAAAAACATGGGCCCGGGAAACTCCGGGCGGTACCCCCTTTGGCGGTCCCCTCCCCTCGGCCGTAGCCCGATTGGCTCGCCTGCCCGGGGCGTCTGACCGTCGGAAGCCTCTTGTCAATGTTCGGGCACACTGCCCGCCCACTCTCGACGAGATCGCGGCGCATGCCACCCTCCCCAGCCCCGGAGAGGGCCACGGTGATCGATCCCCTCTGTGGCGGCGCACCACCCGCGCCGCATCTCCATCCACGGAGATGCCCCGCCCCGTAGCGGGAACACCACCCGCACACGCACGCACAGAAAGAAGGAGGGGGGAGAAGGAAAGAGAAAAGGCATTTGTTGGTGTGTATATAAGAGGAGTGTGGGAGATTGTGCGCATGCTGCTCTCTGGCGTGCACGCGCACACATGTGGCCCTTCCATGCGCACACTGGGAGGCCCTCTCTCCTGCTGGTGTGGGGGGGGGGAGGGGGAGGACGCGCACGTACGCCGCGTGGGGGCAACTGTCCCTCACACGCGAGCGGGTACACGTACGTGTGCATGTGTGGCGCGGCACGTCCAGTGCACACTCCCCCCCCCCGCCCCGTGAAGAGGCCGGGGGGGGGGGGGGGGGGGGGGGGGCGCGCAGCGAGGAAGGGGAGAGGGTGTGACCCGGGGGGCGACGGTTGGGTCCATTTTCCGAGGAAGAGGGGCGGCGCGTGACATGGTATGCATGCTCGACCCCAGTCTTCCCCTGTCGCTGCCCCCGCCCCCTTAGGAGGAGGGCTTGGCGTCGGCGGAGGCGGCCGAGGCACCGCGCTCGCCCACCAGCGACTCGATCAGCGAGGCCAGGGGGGCCAGCTCGCGCTCCTCGATGAGCTTGAACTCCTGAACGAAGTAGATGAAGTGCTACATAGCGTATGGGGCGCGCACAGGAGACACAGAGCGAGAGAAAGAGAGAGAGAGAGTCAGTCTCGGCAAGCGCATGCCACCACACATCCATCCAAGGGAGATATGCATGTTCCCCCCGCCCCCCCCCCCCCCTCGCGACAGCACCGGCCCCAGCGCGTACCTTGAACGAGGTGTTCAGATGGGCCTCTTCTCCGAGGCTGACGATCTTCGGGAAGTGCGAGTAGTAGATGTGGGCATAGACGCGGAAGAGGCGCTTGAACATGTTGCGCACGACCGTCTGGAAGTTCTTCGGGAAGGGGACGCCAATGCGCGAGGGGAAGATGGTCTCGTCGTCGAGCTGCTGCTGGATCCAGGTCATCAGCTGATCGATGTACTCCGGGGCGTTGAGGGCCACGGGCTTCTTCTTGGACCCGTCGGACCAGTAGTAGATGTACCGCTCGCCGGCCGACATGACCCGGCACTCGGGGTTCTCGGCGGTGCAAAACTCGGTGATCGTGCCGTAGAGCATGTTGATCTGGTTGAAGAAATCGACCGTGTTCACGGCGAGCCACTCGTTGAGATCCTCATTGTCGGGCAGAACCACGGCCAGGCGGAGGTTGCCACTCCCGAGGGTGGCCTCGGCGTACTTCTTGAGCTGGTACTGTGTGCATGTAGTGGTGTCAGGGTGGTGCGTGTGTGTGTGTGTGTGTGT